TATAAATTAATTTACCATTGTATGAAAGTCCCTAATTGATAAAATTAATGTTTCAGTGTCTCAACTGGATTTTTATTGGTAAGTGTTAGAATTAAAACTTGTAGATCTTTTTGTAGTTCTGTTGTTTATTCACCTGACTATTATTATTCTTACCGTGTTTCTTATTAAGTAACAAAATTTTATTCAAAATAGTTTTATTATAAATATTCGTCACAGTGTGTGATGTAAAATGTTAATGACCCCAATGCAATCAGATTAGAATATAATGAACTTTAAATACAGTACAACGACACATTACGAAGAATTTCAGAATGAAGTTTAAATTATATTACACTAAAAAAAATTAACAAAACCACACACGCGACGCGACGCGACAGCGCTGTGTATAAGCTGTTTTGCGACGTTTGTGCCGCAGAAGACCGAGTTTTAGGCTCTCGTGAATTAGTCTGCAATCATCTTAAACAATAAGATAAAAAAATACAAAAAGGAAACGTAAAACTTTATAATAGGTGCATTTGAAGACCCTGCGTAATATTTGTTTTATAGTAAAAGTTCATTGTATTCTAATGCACTGTAAAAATTGGAGAAAGACTTAATTAGGATGTCTTTTTTATTACCCTGTGAGTTAAATAGTGTTGTTAACAATGAAAAAAATAATTTGAGATAAGAGCACATTAGTAATTATTATTAGTTTTATTAATTTCAATAAACATTGCTTACTTAAATACTTTGTTTGTAAGAGACAAAAAGTGTGTGACATTATGAATCGATCATCATTTAAACGAGAAGTACATCATGCTGTATGTTGCATGTATTGTTCATATAGTAACATTTTCTCAAGAGAGCTATATTTCAAACACCATTTTTTTTGGTTTCGGAGAGAAATCATAGGAATGATACTCTGTGTCTGGTGTCCACATTATAGTACGATGAGCATTGGTATCTGGTGATAGACTACTCCACTATACTCAGCTTATCCGCTACTAACTTTAGTATAGGCTTCCTTTCCACTCTTAAGGAAACACGGAACCACCCTATGCTGCAGTTTTCCCGGGCTTTGGCAGGTGATCAGATACCTTTATCAACGTTTCCAACACGAACAATTATCATTTGTATTCCCACTTTATGCGCGATCGGTGTAATAAGCTTTCATTATTCGTTATTTCACTAGTCATTCTTATTCATGACGTCTTCCAAGAAATTTATTTTAGTTTTTTCGCTTCGAATGTTTTTGTATACTTCGAGATTAAGACTTGATTACTCTTTCTTGATTCAAAGGAGATCGATACAAGAACATAATGCGACCGTCCTTACTTAGATTTTAAAAAGTAAATAAACAATCCTTAAAATGATATACCACTATTACGGTTATTAAACAAGTTCATTTGACATTTGCAATAAAAAACCGGCCTGGGCATCATTGACGCGCAAAATTGTCACGTTTTGAATACGGAGAAGAACTGAACGACCTCCTAATAACAACTTTAATGGTAATCAGTTATTTTTTGGATAACCAAAATAATCTATGTCAATAGATAATAGAACCTAAGTGTACTATTTGACAATCTTACTAATATTATGAATGCGAAAGTATAGATGAATGGATATTTGTTAGAGATTGTAGCCTAAACGTCTGACCGGATCTCGATGAAATTTGGCATAGACATAGTCTGGGAAAACACATGAGTACTTACTTTTTTTTTTAATTTTATGCAGATGGAGTCGCGGGCGAAAGCTAGTATTTTGATTTTTAAAGACATCGAATTTGCATTCCATTAGACGTGCAATTTGTTAAATGTTGGTTTGTTCTAGATTAAGTCGTGCGACGGCCGTAGACGATGTTTTAGTTTTTTTTTTTTAATTTTATTACATGTATACAATTGAGCTAACCAAAGATGTATGTATAATGTACTAGTATAATATTCTGTTATCTGTGGTATAAGGAAAGGAAGATTTTCATTTGGGTTACATTACAAATGAAGACTCTAGTTTTATTGTCTGTTTTTGTCTATTTGTCTTTTAGAGTTAAATTCTTATACAGACAAAATCGACCAGAAACAAGGTAAATCTACATGAACATATTTTTCCGTTTTTAATTTTTTACTTCTTTGTATACAAATTTAGATGGTGTCTAATAAAATTCTAAAATATTTGTATGATAATTTATTCATACAATCTTGACGCTGATTATTGGTTATTTTTATTTTAATTAATAATTCCAGACTAGTTTTGACAGGCAGATATTTTGTTCACATATTTTTATTGTTACATATTTACAAAACTTATTGAATACCATTATAGGTATTTTATACAAAAAATCAAGTTCATATAAGGAATTGAAGAAGTCACAAACGTTTCATTGTTCATTGTTACCATCCGCCGTATCCGTAACCACCTCCGATGCCGTAACCGATGCCGATGCCGATACCTCCACCGTAACCGCCGCCGTATCCGAAACCACCTCCGTATCCGCCGTATCCACCGTAACCTCCGTATCCTCCGTATCCTCCGTATCCACCGTATCCGCCGTATCCACCGTATCCGTTACCCCAGCCGTGATGTCCATGACCGTGGTGACCGTGACCCCATCTAGACTCTTCTGGTTGTAAAATCTCAGCTTGTTGCAATACTTTACCACCAGGTGTGGGTAAAGCCATGGTTATCGCTAGAAGGCATAGCGCCAAAATTGTATACGTTATCTGTGAAAGAAATTGTTATTAATTTTTTAATCAATTTAATCCAACAAGGATTTTCTCAATACCACCATAATGATGAAATGTTTAATCGGATCAACACTTAACACTGTAATATCTCCTTTTATAGATACCAACTAAAATACTTCAAAAACACTTGAAGATCATAACTTATAATTTTGGTTAAATCAAAACAGCTCTTTTAAAGTAAGAGAATTATTTTTTTTTATCTCTAATCAAATTATTAATTAAATTTCTGCTATAATTTGTAAGATGATCATAAAATTTAATCAATTTTGTAGACTTTACTTACAGTGTTCATTTTACTATGTCCCGTTGAACAGTGATGGTGTTGCTATAAAAAGCCCCCGTATTTATTCCGAATAAGTTACTCACACACGAAAACCTTGAAACGTGATTTGTTCGAATAACGTGCGATTTTTTAACGTTAAAACAGGGAAAGCCCAAATTTAGCTTTAAATATTCACATTAAAAATAAAAACGTGCTTATGAGTAATTTGATTAATTTAATTCATCCTTGAAGGAATGATTTTCAATATTTTGATATTATGCATATTTTTGACTAGCTGACGTCCATCGACTTCATCCGTATGGAGGATTTATTATCAACAATTCTAAAATGGATATGTAATGTATTGATAATAAATGTAATTATTTGTGCTGAAAAGCTTTGATGTTAATTTTTAAGTAATTCTACTGAAAAAAAAACTTAGAAACTATCATTCCCCAATTAAAAATATCTTTCTGACAATAACAATAACAGAATAAACCTAGAGAACCTACAAGTGTAAGATAGATATAAAACTACTTCGAATTAGACCTTATTAAGACTAGCTTCCCCCAGACCTAGCCTAGATCATTTGCTGGTCAGTAAATACATCCTGCAAACAAATTATAAACACATCTTTACGTATTTACGAGCGTTGTATTACGTCAGAGCTACGCCCCTCAAAGAAGGGACCGTTGTACGACGTTAAATGATGACAAAAATGTATTAGTAACATACGAATTTAGCATTTAATAACCTAAGTTAAAGTCCGATAGGTGAACAAACTGCTCCGCACTCATCCGCGATCCGGGGATTCACAACAATAAACTCAAACAGGTTTCATCTACAAAATGCGAGCAATTTATCTCTTAATGGCCTTTATAATCTATTCTTTTTTTACATGCAACGTATAAGGAGTCTGCTTGTGAATTTTTATATTTTGCTTTGCGCATGTAGGCTGAAGTTATTCGTGTTATAAACGTGTTAAAACATACGTTGGTAGAACAGGATTCATAAAATATTCTATGATTATTTCCTCAATTTTTTTGTGTTTCAAAATATTCAAAGATTCAGACCATATAAGTTGAATTACAAATAATAATAGTTTGATAGATATTAAGATGTACGAATAATTACAACTTCTATAGAACTTGTAAGAGAGAAGTTATCATAAAATATAAATTCAGAGACATAAAATATCCAGTCACTTATCCGTTTATTTCTTTTGAAATTTAATATTTAATTAAGCTAATTATCTATAATTTTTCATGTAATATTAGATTATGTCACAGTAATGCTAAATTAACGATCGGGTAAAAACCATTTATTAAGATTTAAAATAGTTAATTGCATCCAAGTTATATTATTACTACAAATATGCATTTAGTCAAGTGTTATATGTATGAACTTTATTTTATTAAGAAATGATCATATTGAGTACATACATACAGTAATGATCGTATAGATAGATAGCTTAAAAATATTTTTAGTCCTTAAACATCCCTTACTTATTCTATTGGTAAAAGAAAATTTAAAATCGCTGCAGTAGTGTCGAATCAGTAAAAAGCAAATCTTTCTCGTATTGTAACTATGTACGTTCCGTACGTTTGACATTGCTTAAGGATGTAATTAAAGTTTGGTCATTGACTGTTTGTCCTCTTGAGACAAATCGAAATAAGATGTATAACTGCCGATAGTTCTTTGCAATATTTTATGTGACTATTTTATTTACATAATATATTCATTTAAGCATTGTACAATCTTGTGCAATAAAACTGGTCCTGGATTTGTTTGTAAAATAGATCACATAAATTGTCCATGAAAATACTATCAATAATGTTACGGACCATTGAAAGGGTTACTTCTCAAGTTTTTAGAAATGTTCTTCATGTTACATCCTTTGTGTGATAGTGCCAATAAAGTAATACTAAAGTATTCAGGGTTCAACATGTGTTTTTGTTAATGTTTTTGTTTGGAAGACTTAGTTATATAAAAAAATAAACAACACGATTATTTAATTTACTGGCCAGTTTATGTTTATTTAAAACACATTTTTAAACTAATAATAGTGTAAATTATTTGTAATCTTTCTCATGTCTACTCACAGGTTATGGAGCTTTTCTTAAGTATTTTTTAACGTAACAACATTTATCTATTATTCATAATATATGACATGTAAAATTTCTCTTATTTTGCTAGAACATGTAGTCCATTAAAATGTTCAAACCGGAAACTTTTTATTATAAATCAAAACCAAGTTCCATCACAGGGATGCCATGTTATCTTCCCCATCCTCCTCCGTAGCCTCCGCCGCCGCCGTAACCTCCGCCTCCGCCATAACCTCCACCTCCACCGTAACCTCCTCCGCCGCCGTAACCTCCTCCGCCGCCGAAACCACGTCCTCCGCCGAAACCTCCACCTCCACCGTATCCACCACCTCCGCCGAAACCTCCGCCTCCGCCGTAGCCGCCTCCCCAACCTGCGCCGGAACCGTAACCTCCTCCACGACCCCAACCTTGATTACCCCATCCTCTGCCTCGGTGACGCCATCTTGATTCTTCAGGTTGTAAAACTTCTGCAGCTATGTCTGGCTTTGCTTGTGCAACGTCCCCCGGTGCCGGCATTGCCCGGATGTATGTTAGACAAATGCATATTAGCCCTATGAATGTTATCTGAAACATAGAGAACGATATGTTTTAGGGTATACAGCAGTATGCGCCATTTTTTTCAAAATTTTAATTGGGTATCTCTAGTTACTAAGGATTAAACAAAACTTGAAAACCACAACATGATTTGGATGTTAAATCAAGACAAATGCAGAACAAAAAAACTTAAATGTTTTTATTAAAATTGAAACGATGTTACTCACAGTGTTCATTTTACCGATGTCTGTAAAGCAATGTTGGAGATTTCAAGATCTGGTCCTTTATATTCATCAACGTCGAATTCACGTCTTGATTGCCCAAAAAAATGTAATAATCGTTATTGTACATCAGATATGATTGACGTAAGGCAAACGGCGCGCGGTTAACTAAAATTAACTACAATTTGACACAGCAATTCTTCTGAACTTAAAAATTTTAGCTAAAAAAAGTTTGCATTTCTAAATATCTTATTTTTAGTTTTGGGCCACCACATGGACTATCCGTCCACCAAGAATATCCACCTAAAGTCTGTCAGGTATCGCTGGTTACCTGCAGGTCTGCAAGACTAAAAAAATCGATTACTTTTTTTCACGTAAATTACAACTATAAATAAAAGAGTATAGAAATCTTTACAGAAGAGATGCTTCAATATGATTTAATATTTTCTACATTGCTTATTACTTAAAAATACTTAGACGCCAAACACATGCGGGTTTTCCTTAAGTTAAGGCCATCGACATAGAATGACGAGTGTATTTACTAAAGAATGATGAATTGATGACATGAGGTGATCTCTAATCTTGTTATTATCGATTTAACGCATCATTCGACAACAATTTAATGTTATGGCTAATGGAGGCACGTACTTTTGTTATCATATTTCACAATAATATTATAAATGCGAAAGATTAGATGGATGAATGGATGAATAGAGGGATGGATGGATGGAGGGATGGATGGATGTTCTACTTGCATTTGTTTCTTTTTGTCCGCGCGGACGGTCTCGGTCGAAAGCTATTACGTTATAAGAGAACTTGAAAGACCCTGACATAATGTGGCTATTGTTTAATAAATACAAATAAATTAACGCATGTAATAAAATATTACATGTCCTGCTATTATTCACGTTTTCTATTGAAGTTAGTCATATGTAATTATTTTTGCTTCACAATTTAACTTTGTATTTCCTATTTTACTTTAAGTAACTTTTAAACCGGTATTTTCATGAACACGGTTTGTCCAGATTAGTTTTCCTTTTGTTCCTACAATAAAACCAAAGCGTAACATAATAAAAACATCTTTTTACGTCTTTTTGAACATTAAATATCTAATGTATGCTTATTTTATGATAAATAGATCATTAACTGAAAATAATAACGATGTTCCAGTCTTGGATAAATTCGTAATTCCTAAAATAATAGCTTGTTGCTTGATTTTGAAGATTAAAGCAGCATCCGATTTATATTGTGTTTTTCCTGATGATGGGTACAGTCGATCGAATTTGAAGGTTAAATTTACGATTGTTTGATTCCATTTGATAAATATTGGAGATTGTCTATCATATCCTCGACATACGTTAAGATATGGGATGTGGGTTTGGCTGCGTATTAGCACATCATTAAAATAGTTTTACGTAAGAAAATATATTTATTTTAACTGAGTCATTTACAATGTGCGCAGAGAGTAATATTAATGACCCATAAAGTGACCGTGTATGTATGTGGTTAAGACGAAGAAAATTCGTCACCTTTATTTTATTTAAACTTAAATGTCACTTCCTGACTCCGATACACGGATGTTACTTAACATCAACAATGTTATTTTACATATTTATAAAATGTTTTATATGTGTTTTATGTCATTATTAGTTAATAATAAAGTCTAAAACATATTACTAGTAGCTCGTGGTTTTGTATGCATTATTTGTTATATGTTCCCCTTTTTAAATAAAATATACTTCTTTATACCAGCTGACATTGTAAATGAAGCTTTTAATATTTTATCACTGGAACAATTTTTTCTTGAGTTACATTTCTGACCTTTTCTGATTCTGATTCATGGAAACATGTATTATGTACATTATACCGGTTGCGTAGTGTAAAGGCTTTTTGGTATAGGGGTTGTGGGTATTTAAAAAATACTAATTTCGAGGGATAAGGTTATTTCGTAAACGAATTCTATTAAATAAACGTTCTGCGTACATTATATAGGAATGCGTATATGTCTAGTCTAGATTTAAGCTATTAGCAAATCAATTAAAATCGGTTAAAGTAAAGGGAATGATTGTCTTAATAAACTTCCTCAGGGTTTTTTTGTAAGAAATCTTCAAGCCTAAAGCATTTCAATAATGTTACCTTTAGCGCTGTATATACCACAATAAGTAACCCATATATACATATGTAAACAACGTAAAATGAAACGTGCTTTAAAGTTATTTCAAATTTTTATTTAGAATTAAAAACAAATCACAGATTATAATATTGTTGCGGAAGAATTTTATACAATTTCGTCAATAATTATCGGATATAAATTTTCGCGTTTTATGTCGACGTATATTTTATCTTCCCCAGCCGTGACCTCCGTACCCGCGACCTCCGCCATGGCCCCAGCCACCTCCGTGTCCCCAGCCACCTCCGTGTCCCCAACCTCCTCCGCCTCCCCATCCACCTCCATAGCCACCACCTCGGCCCCAACCTCCACCCCACCTCGACTCAGATGGCTGCAGCTCTTCGGCATTACCAGGTTGTGGTAGCGCCCAGGTGCAGGACAAATAAATGCACATCAGCAGCGCAAAGAATAGAATCTGTAATTGATATTAAACATTTATTTAAATTATCCATGAAAATCAAAGAAAAGATACAAGAGTGACGACAAACATATTCAATAGATCGTAAGGATATTAGGAAAGATTAAAAAATCTTTTTTGATCACAGTTACAGTTGCTTCAATTAAGGTTAGAAAATTATCTAAAGCGATACCTTTAATGGTTACAAGATACATTTATGTTCGACAAATTCAATAATTAAATTGAAAGATACTGGAATTGTAATTTTGTACCTATATAAATTAAACTATAATTATATGTACGGCCACAATGAACTTGATTGATCTTTCAAAGCTTAGAATAAAGAATTAACAGTTCTGATTTAATTAAAAATTATTAGGTAGACGTGATTGTCAACAACACTTTGCAATAAGGCTCTTGCGCTTGACATAAATTATATTAAAAATTATATTTGGAAAAAAATACATATTGCATTTTGTTAGTTCTAGATTATAACCACTAAAAGCCAAGGGAAATAAATTAATTCAAATTAACTCACATTACACCTTTTCTACATTGGCTTTATGATATAAAGGGCTTTGTATATTTCATCCGGTTATATTCAAATATTATTAAAAAAAAAACTTTTTTTTTATAATTCTAGTTTCGCGAGCGTATTAAGCTTATTTAAATAATGATTAAAATTAATAAACAATTGTTCACTTACAGTCTTCATCTTGGCAAGATTCCTTACACAATGCTTGTGGTTGCTGTCGATGGACATCTATTTATACAATTTTTAGATGTGATCTGCTCTGGCTTACACGCGGTGCAGCAAAATGACCCGTAATGTATTTTTTCATCTTATTATAAATCCATAAACAATTATTATAAAAAATAAACAAGACCATAATGAACATTTGATTTGCCTTTAGTAACATCCCATTAGCTAGGATTCACCTTTTCTTTTCTTAATTTTATATCTTTGACGAAGTTAGTATTCGAAAATGAGTCTCACTAGACATGTAGTGTTAATAATATTATGACCTTATTGTAGTGTTGAATATGCGTCACAATTTGTTAATAATATGCTAGTAATATCTCTAGACTATGCGTGTAGCATTTTTGGTTTTCTGATTTTTTTTTTAATTCATGTAGAAAAAATAATTCCTAAGACCCCTATACTATGAACTAATAATAAATAAATTACGTTTTATTAATGTTTTCGTTTTGATCAAGATTATTCTTTTATATTTGTTGGAATACAAAAGAGATGATCATTCTTATCAACACATTTACTTTTAGTTTCTAGGGTTTTGTTCTTAGAATTCTGTATTATTAATTTGTTAATTAATTCAGGTCTTATACTTGTGGTATTAGGAGTTACTGTTGTTGAAATGTTTAATTTGTTTGTTGGCTGCATTTTGCTAAGTTTAGATATTCGTGATTGAATTGTTTTAGTTTTGGTTGTAGTTGTTTCTGATGTATGAATTGTTGTTTGTGTTGTTACAGTCTGAGGTCGTTCAGTATCGTTAGTCTCTACAACTTCTATGTAATTTGCCGGTGGTCGTCTGGGGTTTGTGAATGGACCAACTAAATATCCACATTCTAATCTGTCACCACGTATCCGACATCCATTTCCTGATTCTTCTGATACTTCCTCATTATCAACATTATCTATATTCTTATCGTATCCACATAAAATTCTGTCGTCCTTTTCTTTGCATATCGTCACATCGAAACCGTAGCCATTTGAGTTATTCGCCTTCTGTGTTGTGGACTCTTGGATTGTAATATTTGATCGTAAATATAGAATATCAGTAGTGTTTTCTGCCTCATTGGTAACCTCCATTGTTAGGTTCGCTTCATAATCTAATGGATCGAATAAAATGTGACCAAGTTTAGGAGCACTCTTTACCACAATAATCATTTTTATTAATATCGAACATGCCTAAAAAACATTTGTTTGACATAAAAGAGTTAAATGATAATGTTTATGAAAATTTATTTTATCAAGTAATATGGTAGGGTGTTTTCTGGCGATCGCCTAGCATAATAGACAGTAAAAGGGCACCATAGGTCTGCATAATTACGCGTAACCCTGTTGACTTCCTCGAAGATATTGTAAAAAAGTGCGATTAAGGGCTATAGAATCTTTGCCAAGGCGTCGGTAGCGCTAAAACCGTTATTGGGAGTATGTACAACAAAGTACTCACCAAGAAACAATGTGACATTGTAACTCTAAAAAGTAATGAAATTGATTCATTGATTGATACGTTAAAATTACATTTTACTATCGCGTGTTTTATTACTGGGTACTGACTGCAAATTCTTCTCAAGTTACTAGATCTGTAGTTGCACTCCGAGATTATTTTTTTTAATGTTTAAATTTCCTATAAGCTTGCTTGTCGCTTGACAAGCTAGGTATTTTTTAACTGCAGGCGCTATGACATTTTTAATAAACCTACATATATAGGACTAATAAAATGTAATTTCTGTATGCTTGTGAATTAAATAAACAACTGTGTAATTCGAAAATAATAATAGATGGTCCAAAAAAATAACAGTAATAAGAGTCAGTCAGTCATAAAATAGCCAAAAATAACATAAAATAAACGTAGTCTAAAGCTTAAGATTTAATTAATTAATTAAATTATAAATTAAGATAAGTTGTAAATCGTTGGGATTACCCGAGCAAATTATTTTATGATAACAATAGGCTCGGAAAGTACAATAACAAGTTTCACATATTTTTTTTCTCACAATTAAAAGTAAATGAACTTTGCTATAACATACGTAAATTTATATTTATTTATTAAGAAGTTAACATATAAGTAATTTACAATATAAGTATTTCACTTATGTTCTTTAGTCTTAAAAATATTCGATGACGTCTTGTATTTCTTTTTCTTTTTTTTTATACTAAAAGGAGACAAACGAACGGCGAGAACACCGAGGTGGTCAACGACGCCCATGGACATCCGTAACACCAGAGCAATTACAGATGCGTTGTCGGCCTTTGAGGAAATGATAGGCTCGGTTCTTAAAGAATCCTAAGTCATGTTAAAAACATTCCCTGTAATACATTAATAATTTCGCCTGATCTGCAACTATCGAATTACTATGTAGACTTATTAAAAACTGTGAATTTGTTAAAAAAAGATGTGTTATTTGACATATTTGCAATGAATCTTCTTCATTGTTGCTATATTTTTATAACTACAGTATTTATACACTAATGTTCGATATTAATTTTCCCTAACCATTCAAATCATAGAAATACTAAGAATGGTCGAGAAATATACTTTGAAGATTTTGAAACAAGCGCCTGGTAAGTTATAATAGCAACGTTAAGAATATTGCAGGCGTTTTGAAAGAGCTATTTATTTGGTTTTGTATTTTCGTTTCACGGACATACGACCACTGGTAATATTAATACATAGTAATTCAATTCATCTAACGAAATTTCAAAAAATTAAACATAACCATTAATATATGGTTGTAGTATTCTAGTAATATACTAACGTTACAATGTTCTTTATAATTGGAAATGCATTAAGTCAGTATTTTACGATAACAGCAATGATCAGTTTCTACATTCACTTTATCATGGTTAGTCGATTGTGATTGAAATTTTACTTTTTGTGCAAGTATTATTTATTTAAAAAGTATTATTTGCAGGTTTTAATAATAACTCCACGTGACGCGATTGCTAATTGTGTAAATGCAGATAAAAAAAGAATTAATGAAGTAGAACAATTAAAAGATGAATTAACTAAAGGTGATAGTACGAAACCGCGATCTCGCTGTTGTCCTTACGATTTCGATCCTTCTCTTTGTAAAACTGTTGGTGATCGATTATTATGTGGTTACAATAGAAATATAGGAGGTTACCAAAGCGACAACGAGGTTGAATTGCACAATGGATGTCGAATACGAGGTGGTAGGGTAGAATGTGGTTATGTTAATGGTCCTTTTATGAATCCACGGAGACCACCAGCTATTGATAATGTACTACCGATGTATGATGAGGATAATACCACTCCCGTAAATGATATAAACGGTAGCGGAGCTGAAGACGATAATCATAAGAAGGAAGCTTTAAAACACGTCACTTCTAAAAATTTCCGTGAACCTACGACAAGATGTCTAGAGATAAGGGAGCGTGTCGTTTGTCGACATTTATAAACAGTTTTTGTAAATATCATAAGTAACTAGAAAAAATAGTTAGGATATCTTAGTTTAACATAGAATAATGACGAGGAGAGATTAGAGAGATTGGAAAATCAAAAACGATTCCGTGTTTAAAGAATGAAGTTAAATAAAATTATTCTTGAAGACTAAGAGTTAAAAAAATCTAGAGTGAAATAAAAACAATTGGAATTTTTTCATTGCATTCATATATTAAAGTGACTGCTGGGAAGTCCAGAGTATTTAATGTCTTTTCCCTTTTACGGTAGGATAAATAAAATGAATTTCAATTACTTTACATACATTTTAATAATTTAAATTAATATTAGCGAATACAAACATATGAGGCAAATATGGCTAAATATTTTTGGCGAAGATAAATAAAATAAATAAATAGATTATAAACTACAATTGATAAGTTAAGCAAAGCCAACGTAAACATTATTAATGTTAGTCATTCGAGCGTAGACAGCGGTAATTGCCAATTAATTGGCATAAACAGTTTCTTTTAGAAACTTGGCTGTAATTTTTTTAATTGCTTTTGAGTTTAATCAATCCATCAAGTACTCCAACGCCGATAATCCGCTGTGTAATCCCGGTGGGCCATCTTCAGCGAACATTGTAAATATTTCTTTCATTATTGAGGTTTCCGAATCATCTTTAGGGAATACGTAATCCAGAAAATCAAGGACTGCATCTGACATACTTCTTTTTTCAACGGGTCCGGCCTCGAAGATTTTTTCCAGCCAGCTGTCATTACAGCAGCATAATTTCAAGTATAGAAGAAATAATGTTATTCTAAGAATTTTCCTAACGCAGCCCATGTTTCTGAAAAGAAAAAAAGTATACTGGGTTTCAGAAGATCCCATTTATTTTGTTACTACCTATTTATTAATTAGTGTTAGGTTGACTTATATGTAAAACTCAAGTTAGATAGTTCGGAAACGCATTTCACGAAGATATCGAATCAAAAATCCTAATAAATAGTTAGCATATCTGGGAAACCGGCCATTAATCAGTTATTTTTTATTTATAACACAGTAACATATAAGTACATTTTACATGCTTTCTTATATCATAAAGAAATGTTATTATCATATCCATAATATAATCTGATTGACTTATACAAGTTAGAATTAATAATTACTATTTATTTAGACCTATTTTATACTTACCATAGATTAAAACATTGTTAGTCTATACACTAAATGTAAATTTAATTTAACTTTCTCTAGGAAAGGATGTAAACTAAAGTAATTGTTATGCCGTTCATATCAGACAGGTGTGTTTGTTATTCGCAAGTAGAATGTGGATGTCGAAAATGCTCCAGTTACCTCATATTGTTGTTCGGTTACCTTTTTTTATACTTCCTTACGCAGTAAATTATGTCATTGCATCTTATTGATAATTTAGTCATAGATAATGTAAATGATCACAAATGATTATGTTCTACGTAACTACCACAACTAGCCTATCAAAACTGCAACGACTGTATTCATTTACTTGTTTATTATTTTCTGGTGACATTTTCGGCCATGACTTAAAAACAACAAAAAGGAAATAATTAGTGCTCTACAAATATTTCACAACTTTGTCTATGTATGGCGTCATGTTACGTTTTTTTTTAATAAAAAAAATAACTACGAGTAAACTAGCAAGATTTACTGACTATGACCTCACGTGCGAAAACCTGTTATGGATCTACATTAGTCAGTTTTTACCTGTGTTATCTATTTTAGGACGTATTAAAAAAACTACGATCAATATTTTAATCTTCGTCTATCAGCCTGAAAGATTCCATTTTTTTAATTAATTTTCGTTGTGTGTTTCTGTTTAAATTAAGACTTATTAACTTCAAAAAATTAAATAAAGACAATTTAAGCAATAAGTTATCATTAAGCAAACATATTCAAATACAATATGCATTTGTATATGTTTTAAAAGTCTTTATTCTTGATATTTTTATCTATAAATTAAGAAAGATGCCATAACGTAAGTAGAGAACAGGTCGTAGCATCCGACAGTAAAATATGCACGAGTGAGTAATGTGTTACGTAACGATTTTCACTTCCACTGTTTACAGAAATTGATATTACGGAATTGTTTAGCGTAATGTACGCATTTGACCTTAATGTAATTTTAGGTGAAAATACCTAAAATTCTCTTTTGTTAAACAAATTTAAAAATATGAAATAGACGTTAGAAAGACTGGTTTTAATGAATACATTTTGGAAACACTAATATATCTATGCTTCTGATTTATAACAGTGGTAACAATGTTATTTTATACAGTGGAAACAGACGGTTTAATTCTATACCGGTTTTTTACATAACTGACCAGTTTCGGTTGGGACATAAACCAAAGCTTGTTTTAATTAAATGTATAACAGCGAACAGTATTCTAAAATAATTTCTGTGATATAATACGATGGAATTTTTTTGACACATATCTAAGGAACGTCTTGGAAATATTGGAAATTGTCTTTTTTAATAAACTGTGACGCTACGTTGTTTGCAAACTGTATGAAATTTGTTTGTAAAATTCTGCTAACTTGACCTAGTAATCAAACTGAATGCAATGGGAAAAATTATCTGTTCTTAAATTATTCACAATTTTATTATTAAACCCTTGCATTCGAACCCAAGTCCCCTCGTCTTAAAGTTAAGTCTGTCAACTACTTAACTATATGGTACAGGAATAATTTAATTGAAAACTTACCATTTACACGACTATTTATCAAACTTTTTACAATCTAAAATGTAGTTTAAAATCGGATTTCAAAAAAATTTCATGATCCACTATCATAATTTCACTGATAACCAAACTGTTAGTGGCATTGGCATGCAAGCCGGACAACCTTGCGCGGCGTCCTTTGCGAACTGTCGCACGCGATGCCAACTGATGCCAAACAAGCACCAACTTTCCACTTCTTCCAAGTGGTGGAGAGAAATGGTTACGAAATATGTAATTACATACTGCCTCATTATTTTTAAATTCTTTGTACTTTGGTGTACCTAATATTTTAAATAATGACAATTGTAAATTTCTCTTCATTGTTATGTGGTTAAAACCCTGAAGATATCTTTGTTTACCAAGTTTCCTTCTCTACGTATAAATTATACAGATAAGTTGCAAGTAAATGAGTAATAAGTTATTTGATGACAATGACGATAAATGATGCGATCAAAATAATGATGGGTTGTACAACTTGCTAGCAGCTTTCACACTACGGCTACAGTCTAATCCAATTACACTAGGTGAGACAAATCTTTACTTACCAACGTGGCAATTTTCTAAACAATTGTTTGGGGGGACACCCACGTTCGCTACTTACATCACCTAATACCTACAATACAGGTTTTTTGTTTTTTTTTTTGTAATAAATTTTGTTACCTCAGAAATGCTGAATATACGATTTGACATACAGATTACTTTTAATGATAACTATTTCTTAAAATTAGGGGTATGCATCTTTGTGTCCATAACAATGCTTTGAATCGTGCAGTTTTGTGTGGCATGATAGTACACTGATGCGTTAAAGTGTAGGTCGTAGAAAGGGTATAACTGTCAGTGATGGAAATTTTGTTGGGTCGTACGACACCAAAGTAATTAATATTCCAAATGAGTTTCCACAACTAGTATTTCACTTTCGAAAGCCTCACATTGTTTCTTTTTATGTATGCAGCTATTACTGTTTATATTGTTGATATTTTGCTAATTTTATATAACAAACGTTACGTTTTCGTAGATTTTTTTCATTGCCCAATTAATAATAGTAAATCGAAATGTATTTGACGTTTCAGAAATCAATACTTATCGTTTTTCTTCTTCAGACGCATTAAATATCGAATACGGATCTTTTTCATAAAACCTTAACCTAGTTATTGAAGATCAAATGACCCTAGCGTGTGTATCATGAGGCCATAGAATATTAAAGAATCATTACTTACTGCCTTGATACTTTCCTTTAAACGAGAAATAATCTATGATTGATATTCATTTTCAATCTGAATTTTGTGCAGCATTGTTCTTTACAAGATGAAATATTTGATTCAGGTATTTATTCATTTACAAATAAATACTGCATCTGTCACCACGAGACCTAAATGTTGGTTGGTTTGAGTGTGATTGAAAAGCTTAGTGAAAAGTGATTAGATTTTGTGTGCTAATCTAAAGTTACTATATTCGTGATACCTGTGTTAGATAAGTTCAATTTGTTCATTTTCGCATTGTTTATTTTTTAGATCGCTGTTTTATTTCTGAACGTCCATTTTGGATACACGAAACCGGGAATAAGCTTTAAGAAGCAATTCGAAGTGCAGTTCAATCCTACACCATTTAAGTCGTTAGAATTTATTTTCGAAAAATGGTCTAGATTTGGAAAATTTGGATTAATACGAAAAATTGCAAAGAGAGATACAAGTGATGTAATCGATATATTTAATTTGCCATCACATGAAAAAGACAATTTACACGTGTTACCCGTTAATAAGGAATCGGTAAAAGTGACATTACCAGCTCAGAATGTGGTTATTTTATCAACAGTCAAACCAATACAAAGTACAGAAAAACCGTTACAAGATTCGACGAATAAAGTTGAAATAATACCTGTGGTTGAACCTAGTAATGAAATCGTCGAACCATTAAAACCTTTCCTTCCTATGCCAGGTGAGTTAAACGCAATTAGTATTCCGGTTGAAGCAACAACACTGCTACCTGCAAGTGCTCCAGTAACATCTGCAGCTAAACCGGAAATTACTCCACAATCAACACCTCTACTTTATACGAACATTCTTCAATCATTAAATATTCCACAAATGAAAGAATTGAACAATCAAATATCTCAAACTATGGTACCGCCAAAGTTAGAAAATCAGAATCTCATTGTAAGGGGTTCAAGATTCGCCATGTACTTTGCTTCTATGTTACTACGTATGTTATCACAGTATCTTTCCGGAAGTCGAGTCCCTTTAGGAAATACTCCCGGACAAGAGGTGCCTCTGTTATAATGAACAACAAAGAGTTAGTTTTAAGATTTAATAATCAAGAGGTAACATTAACAAAATAAATTAATTTTTAACGTCTAAAATATCCACCAAAGGAACCGTAACCTCCATAACCTTGGCCAAACCCATCTTGACCGTATCCACCGTGTCCGTGACTTCCGTGACCGTATCCACCGTGAACGTGTCCACCGTGACCGTATCCACCGTGACCGTATCCGCCGTGATCATATCCGCCGTGACCATATCCATGTCCATGTCCATGTCCGTGACCATAGTCTCCATATCCACCATGTCCACTGTGTCCGTAGCCACCGTAACCTTGATCGTAACCATAACCTCCGCTAAACCCGCCATGGTTATACCCTCCGTCGTAATTAAAACTATTATGGCCAGTAACAATTGTCACAAGAGTTACTAGGAAGATTAGGAGAACACTGGTCTGAAATAATAAACAACACATATTCGTTATTTAAACTACAACTAAAAATACGTAGCGTATACGTGGTTTCCACAAAATTTGTATTCAATTGAACATAATGTAATTTATCTCTATACGCTGCAACTTATTTCGTTGTTTAAGGGCACCTTTAGTTTTTATTCTATTAAAAATTAAAATGTCCAACTTACATTGGAAACTGCCATTGTTTTAATATACTTCTAACACAGTTCTGTAGATACTGACCAAAATTAATGTAAACTTCGTTTAAATATTTATAGGGTCAACAGTCTCGGGATTTTTTATCATTCACGTTTAACCTGTTTTTTGGAGAAGCTGTGCGATAACACGTTCTGATACTATTAAAAAAGTTGTTATAAACTAATAGGCTATGACGGTATTCCGAGCAGATTAAGGTACAAAATTCATGTTTTAATGTTCCCAATAGATGTTTTAAAACGGTTTTATTTAACTTGTTTTAGAATAGTAACTTACGTATCGTCGATTAAATTGGTTTCTATTGTTAAGATATTTCTAGCTTGCGATTTCATTTTCATATTCCAGTGTTACAGAATATGGACATTCATGGTAAAATTAACAATTTACTTAGATATGTTGTGTATTTCTATCGGTACCTATAAAAGTATATGTGCATGATTTTGTGATAATTTTAATTCGTACGTTTGTGAATAAAGTTATTACTTTTTTAATTGCTATTTTTTATTTTTATTCCTCTTGACAGTGTTAAAAATTTTGTAGAAGGAAGATAATGCTAAATATAAGTTGTTTTAATTCAAAAGGTAAAATAAATCAAGAAATATACGTATGTGTTTATGTTACGTAACTAAATAGTTATCACATTTTAAACATACTACTTCATACACCATTTTCATAAATAAAAATTCTGTTTAAGAATAATGCGAATCCATTTTAATCACATGTTTACACGATACAATTTAGCAATAACGTTTCAAAAGTTTGTTTTAAAACAGGTAATGATCTAAAAAATTCAAAGATGTTTTTGAATAACGATCTAAATGGTATATTGTACGTACATACTCCAGTATTTTGTTGTTTGGAATATTTTAAAAACGTCCAGGT